GGGGGAGTCAAAGATATTCTCGAATATAACAAAATGGAAATTTAAAATCTACATCTAAGAAAATTTGTTAAACTTTGCAAATAGTCACACATGCAAAAACAGAAAATATTCACCACCTCTTGCTCTTTAATTCGGAGAGACTGTCCAACATCTTGTAATTCCTTTTGTTCCTTTTGTAATTTTTCTTCCTTCTCAGCTAAGAGTTTCTCTTGCTGAATAGTTACTGTATTCTTCAGTTTCAATTTACCCATTAAAGTTTTCAGATCTCCCTGCAACTTCTTGATAATTTCATTTGCCTGTAAAAGAGCTTCATATGTATATCTCTACTTAATCCAATGAAATTTAATATTCTGTTATTTTTAAAAACGAACCTTAAGAAGTTCCGCTGATAATGATTTTATTGTAGCTTCAAGTTTTCCTAGTTGTACCTGATTTTTCTCACCATTTTCTTCTAAAGCCACCTGATACATATTTTTAAAAACATGAATAATTAATAAGATGCTTGTGTTTAAGAAAAGCATCACTTGTAAATGTAATCATCAATTTGTTTCAAAAATGTTTAAATAGACCTTTTGTTCCTGGATTGTATCAAATGCTTCTTTTGTTCTTAAAACAAGCTGGTCCTTATCCTTGATTTCCTGTTCTAAAACAGCCACTTTTGTTTGTAGCTGATTAATATGCTTTTCTTTTTCATGGCATTCAGCATCTAGGGTAGAATTTTCTCTTCGCAAAGAGAGGACTTCTTGCTTAGCCCGCTGGAGCTCCTACAGAAAGAAAAAAAATGCAGCATAAAAAAGAGAAGTTGGCCCACTATGGTTATTTATAATTAAGATGTTTAAAATATTTTAAAAATACCTTTAATAATTTTAAAGTTCTAGTATTGATTTTTTAAAAAAGGATTTGGATATCCCTCTAAAGGTATATGTAACTTGTAGATTTGAATAATAATTGTAAAATATACTAATATCTAATTCACTGACAACAAGGAAAATAATCCTCTTTTATGAATAAATTACTACAACTCTAAAAAACTAGTAACAAGGATTTTTTGGTATCTTTAAATTTACACTTTAAAAAAATCATTTGTCATAAACACCCATTATAACAGAATTTCAAAAACATAAAATAAATAACTAAATAAAAAGCCCTAGCATTCTACCACATAAGCAGTGGTTCTCAAGCTACTATGCATATTGAAATCACCTAGGAAGCTTTAAAAACTACTGGTGCCTGGTACCCTCCCCAAGAGAGTCTTATTTACAGTTAGTATGAGGTATGTCCTGGGCACTAGGGCATTTGAGCATTCTCCAACTGATCCGAAGGTTAGCCAAGGATGGCAGCTATGACCTAGAGTTAACATTTTGCGCTTTATACATGGATTTTTTTTAGAAAGTGCTCATACTGTGCAGTTTTATAATCTAACTTCTTTAAATATTACAAATATCTTTCCATGTCAATAAATTTGTTAGCACTTCTGGATTCCCTCTTGGTTCACTCTTAAAAACAAGCAAACATAATTGTTAATTAAAAATGGGTTATTAAAAATCTAGGGCAGATCACTCCCGAATCAGCTAATATCACCAAATACGCCAGTATACACAAGTCTTGTATATAGTATTCCTACATAACTTTCATAACAAAAACTTTACAAAATAATTTTATAGTATTATGCCATAGTGGTTTTAGAAGCAGACTCTGCTGGATTTGAATACAAATCTAGGTTCTTCTGTGTAATCTTAGGAATTATTTTAACATAAATCTCAGCTCCCTCATTTGTAAAACAGAATTAACACTTCATCAATTACTTCACTTAATCTTCATAAGAACCCTAATGCACCTTGCTTACCATAATGCCTGGTACATACTAAATAATAAATGGCAGTGAGCATCAAGTCAGGTTTTAGAGTTTCCTAAGCACAATAGACTGGTGAAATGGAATGGGAAGTGTCATGAGCCCAAGTAACACTGGTGATCATTTTTTTTTTTTTAAACGTTTATTTATTATTTTTTTTTTGGGACAGAGAGAGACAGAGCATGAACGGGGGAGGGGCAGAGAGAGAGGGAGACACAGAATCGGAAACAGGCTCCAGGCTCTGAGCCACCAGCCCAGAGCCCGACGCGGGGCTCGAACTCACGGACCGCGAGATCGTGACCCGGCTGAAGTCGGACGCTTAACCGACTGCGCCACCCAGGCGCCCCTGGTGATCTTTAAATATGATAGACTTGGGGTGGTTCAATCAGTTAAGCGTCGGACTTCAGATCAGGTCATGATCTCACAACTTGTGGGCTCGAGCCCCGTATGGGGCTCTGTGCTGACAGCTCAGAGCCTGGAGCCTGCTTTGGATTCTGTGTCTCCCCCTCTCTCTCTCTCTGCCCCTCCCCCACTCTCTCTCTCAAAAATAAGTAAACATTAAAAAAATTTAAAAAATATACGATAGATTTAACAAAATCTACGTTTTCTGATTAATTCATGACATTAATGTATAATAATGCTAGGAAGGAGTCTAATATCAGGGCCAAAGCATCAACAATGTGTCACTATAGCAAGATTTAAGAAATGTCTCTGTTGACTGAAAGAACAAGGGAGTTCTAAAGACAAGCAAATAATAGAGGTTCCAATCCTTTCTCTTCTACTTACTGGCTATGTGACCTTGGGCAAGTTACTTAACTTTTCTGTGCCTTAGTTTATCAGATGGCGTTAATAGTACCTTCTTTAAGAGAATTGGAAAAAAAAATAATTAAAAAAATAAAAAAAATTAAATAAATAAAAGAATTGTTACAAAAATTAAATGGTTTACTATATGTAAAATAGTTACACAGTGCCTGTCACATAGCATGTGTTCAGTAAGCGTAGCTACTATCATTACTAATAAAGTATCATTATTATTATTAGACACAACTTCATATAGTTGTTTGGTATGTTAGGTAGGCTGAAAGAACCAGTCCTGTCAACACTGAGTATACGGACCCATAGACACTGTGAGGATATTAAAAGTACACTGATCACTGTGCCAATAACCTACCCCTCAAAACCTTAACTAAAAATATCCAATTTTACCTCAGTTCTGTTCTGAATTATCATTTTCTATCAGATTTTAGATTCTCAATTTTTTTGCATTGTCTGAACTGATTACCCTAACACCACCAAGAGAGCCTTGCAAAGCATTAGAGAAACACCATGCACACAAGTAATAAAGTCACCAAACTAAAACACTATTTTAAATTGGTGGTGGGGGGAACAAACTCAAAGTTCAATACCTCTTCAACACCAGAGAGTTTTGTTTTCAGTTCTCTGATGGTAGAGTCTCCTTTATATTTTCTTTCCATTAGGTCCTTATTAGCCGCTTCTAACTCAGATAATTTGTTTTGTAGCTGCTGGATGTTTCGTTGATGGAGGATTTCTAAATCTTTTTTCTGTTGTTCATGCTGCTGTTGACATTGTACCTGTGCCTATTATATAAAAATATAGTACCATAATTAAAACACACACACACACACACACACACACACACACACACACACACACAGAGGAAGATTTGAAGAAAAAAATATCTTAGTTGTTCTATATAATTATAAAATTTCCCTGTTTCAGAGGCTCTATTTTCAATTATGGATTTCATGAAGGAGAAAGGCCAACAAAGGCAAAATTACCATTATGATCTTGTTCTTAATTTCTGCTTTTCTTAAACCCACATACATTTACAAGGAATAGTCTTCAAGTTAAGGGAAGAATGACATGATTATGTTAAAAAACTCCAAAATAGTATAGTATGAACCTATTTGTGTTAAAAGTAAATAAGTGGATACACAGGGAATTTTCAGTATTCACTTTAAATACCATTATATTATTTCAGTTTTGTACAACAGTATATATTTTTTATAATTAAAAAAAGCCCTAAATTTATAAAATCGACAAGGTATTGTTCATTAGTTCAGTCTTACATTTAGTAGCTATGTTTTACCCATGATAAAATCTATTTAAGATTTTATTTTTAAGTAGTCTCTATATCCAGTGTGGAGCCTGAACTCACAACCCTGAGATCAAGAGTCACACACTCTTCTGACAGAGCCAGCCAGGCACCCCTATGCCATGATAAAATTTGAACATTGTAATAAATATGTAATCTTGTGCCTGTTTGAATCATACTACAAGCCTATCTTAATAATTCCTATTGATGAACACTATCAAATCCTAAATACCTTTCAAAAATACAGTATATTTTTCTGATTGTGAAAATACTCAGATATGTTCCGAATAAATTTATATTGGCATCACCCATACACACAATAAACACATTTAACTAATTAAGACTAAGCCACTTACACAATTTAATCATGATTCTTATTCCTTTAGCATTTATACCTTCTCATACCACTAAAACACTCTATAAACACTTTAATAGCTGCATAATATTCCATTCCATGGATATATCATAATTCATTTAAACTCTGCATTACTATGGACATGGACTTTCCAATTTTTCACAATTAGATATAAAACTATGATTACTTTTATATGCAGACATACATCCAAAATTTGGATTATTTCCTTATGATCAATCACAGCTCAAAAAAATGTAAACAAATATAAAACTTGATGCAAGTTCCAAAACTGCATTCCAGACAAGTTGTCCCTATTCAAAAATTCCTACAGGAACAGGGGAGTGTCTCCCTCATAAAACACTTGGAAAATTTTATGTAACTACTTTAAAATTCCCTCATCTTTTTAAAAAACGGAAAGGAGAGGAGAAGGGAAAATAGATATTGATAAAACAGAAGAAGTTCACAAACGACTGAAAATGCAGTGCTGGAAAAAACACTGAAAGAGCAATCAAGAAGAATAAAGAGAATAAACTGGTAAAGATGCTAACTGTAACTGTCAAAGGTAAGCAAACACATCGAAGGCAATAAAGGCAGTAAAGAACTGGTTTTATCCCAGTGACCATTAGAATTTTGGAATTTTTGTTTAAAAAAAAAAAAAGGAAGTGTGAGGGATAGGGCAACATTTACATTTTCTATTGTTTAATGCAGGTGATTCTGATGCACACTAAAATTTTAAAAGCACTGCCTATATAATATCAGCAGGAAGAGAAGAATGGTCGGATTTTAAAGTCTCAAAGAACGGATTCACAATCCTATTAGAATATATAGTAACAAATAACGAATACAAACAACGCCCTCAGTCACTTTGGAGTCATAAACAAACGTACTTGTAAGTGCATTTCTAGAATTTGAAAACAACCAAAAAAAATTGAAATGACAGAAATTAGTGAACAAGGAAAAAAATAGTATAGAATAAAATGAAAAAACGCATTCTTCAAAAAGGCCAAAAAACAAACCATCCAGTCTCATTAAAAAATAAATAAATTAGGGGCACCTGGTACTTAGTCGGCGAGCGGCCTGACCAGCCACAGTCATGATCTTGCAGTCCCAGTTTGAGTTCCGCTGTCGGCCCCGGTGCTATAGCCAGGTTTCTGGAGCCTTGTTTCCCAGATTATGTGTCTCCCTCTCTCTGACCCTCCCCTGCTATGCTCTGGCTCTCTCTCTTGTCTCCCAAAAAAATAAAATAACTAAAAAAATTCTTTTTAATTAATTAATTAAATTTAATAAAAAAAAGATTAAGAGTGGCTCTGCTCTAGTCCATTGAGGTTGAGCCTCCAACTAGATTTCAGCTCAGGTCAGGATCCCATTTGGGCCCTGCACTGGACCACATGCTGGGAGTGGAGCCTGCTTAAGATTCTCTCTCTCTCTCTCTCTCTCTCTCTCTCTCTCTGCCCCTCTCCCCCATTCATATATTCTACCAAAAAAAAAAAAAGACAAAACAAATTAAGAACATATGAGAAATGATACAAAGATTTTAAATATCATAACAATGTGTATGATATTGTACTAATACATTTAAACACATAGATGAAATACATGGCTCTTTAAGGAAATATAAATTAGCAAAACTAAAGAAATGATAAAAAAAAATCCAAGCAGACCAAGATCATGGAGGAAATGGGAAAAGAACCTAAAGATAAATGCCTCAAAAAGGCACTAGATCCAACTGATAAGAGGCTACTTAATTCTATCGAACCTTCAAGGAACAGATAGTTCCTTGTTTTCTGACTGTTCCAAAGCATAGAGAAAACTGGGAAATGTTCTCATTTCATGACACTAGCATAATTCTAACAAAATAGTCTATAGTCCATAATTTTAACATGCAGACTAAGGGTTCAGAAAAAGGATAATCTCAGACCAAATTCACTATAAATATACAGGTGACGCTTGAACACAGCTTTGAACTGTGCAGATCCACTTACATGTGTATTTTTTTTTTTACAGTATTGTACATGTATTTTCTCTTCCTTATAATTTTTTTAAACATTTTAACTTATTTTAGAGAGAGAGTGAGAGCACAAGCAAGGGAGGGACAGAGAGAGAAGAGAGGGGGACAGAGGATCTAAAACAGGCTCTGTGCTGACAGCAGAGAGCTTTGATGTGGGGCTCAAACTCATGAACCGTGAGACCTTGACCTGAGCCAAAGTCGGATGCTTAACTGACTGAGCCACCCTGGTGCCCGCTCCTTATAATTTTCTTATTATCTTCTTTCCTCTAGCTTACTTTATAGTAACAACATAGTATTTAATACATATAACATACAAAATATGTGCTGTTTATATTATTGGTAAGGCTGCCAGTCAACAGTAGGCTATTAGGTACTAAGTTTTTGGGGAGTCAAGTTATAGGTGGATTTTCAACTGCAAGGCAAGGTTGGCACTACTAACCCCCATGCTGTTGAAGGGTCATATGTAAATACAAATGTCCTATATTAAGTGTTCATAGATTGATTCAACAAGATACTAAATATCTCTTTGACTAAGTATTATTCTATGAATTCAAAGATGGTTCCACACTTATCCTTTTTTTTAAGTGTCTTTATTTTCAGAGAAAGAGAAAGAAAGTGAAAGAAAGAGCAAAAGAGAGAACTCCAGGAAGGGGCAGAGGGAGAGGGAGAAAGACAGAATCCCAAGCAGGATCTGCACTGTCAGCCAGGAGCCCAGTGCAGGTCTCAAACTCAAGAACCATGAGATCATGAACTGAGCTGAAATCAAGAGTCAGATGCTTAATCGACTGAAGCACCTAGGCGCCCCAAAAATCCATTATCATTTATTACATTATTAGATAAAAGTGAAAAAAATGACATGATCACTTGATTAAATCCCCCCGAATCACTTTATCTGACTTAGCACTCTTTGAATTAAAACTCTTTCATTGGAAGGAACAAAAGAAAACTTTTTCAGACACAGAACAAACATCATTGCTAATGGGAGATATTTTAAGTTATTTACCAAAAAAAAGAATGGAATGAAGAAAGTATTCCACTATTATTTAGCATTTCTCTGTATGAGAGGAAAAAAGACATTAATACTAAGAAAACATAAATTCACATTTTCTTCATGTTAATTTATTTTTGAGAGAGAGACACAGAGCGTGAGGAGGGGAGGGACAGAGAGAGAAAGGGCAGGCTCCAAGCTCCAAGTTGTCAGCACAAAGCCTGATGTGGGACTCAAACTCACTAACCGTGAGATCATGACCTGAGGTGAAGTCAAACGCTCAACCAACTGAGCCACCCAGGCACCCCTCACATTTTTATATATTGCATATCTACCTGAAAAACCTAAGAGAATCAGCTTCAAAACTATTAGGCTATATAAGTATAATCCACAATTAATGGGTGTGATATTAATATACATCAGCAACAAATAAAATTATCACAGTGGTGGGGCATAGATGGTCCAATTTATACAGCAAAAAACTGTAAAGTCTCTAGGCAACATTTAATAAGAACTGGAAAAGAAAAAAAGAAAGGAGACAGAGGGAAATAAAAGTAAACTATAAGCCTGTTTTAAACAAGTAAGACCTGAATAAATGAAAATATATTCTTGCTAGTGGATAAGAAAATTGCAAAGATATTAGGTCTCCCTAATACTCCAGAAACAAGCTAAAATACACAAGGAATTTACTATATATATTAACAGTTGCATTTTAAATAAGTGGAATATATGGTATTAGAACAAATGACTAACTTTGTGTTAAAAAAAAATACCTATCTCATACTGCACTCCACAAAAATATACTCCAAACAGATTAAAAAGTTAAATACGACAGGGGCACCAAGTGGCTTAGTTGGCTGAGCATCTGACTTCAGCTCAGATCATGATCTCATGGTTTGTGAGTTCAAGCCCGGCCTCAGGCTCACTGCTGTCAGCACAGAGCCCGCTTCAGATCCTCTGTCCCTCTCTCTCTCTGCCCCTCCCCCATTCATGCACATTTGTGGATGCAACTGCTGTCTCTCTCTCAAAAATGAATAAAAACATTAAAAAAAGTAAAAACAAAAAAGCTAAATACAACAAAAAAAAAAACTATGAAAGTATTAAAAGAAAATACTGGAGGAAAATCTCTCA